AGTCTACAGAATATCAGAGCATGAAGCCACTGGATACACTCCAGCAATGTTGATTTTGGTTGGGAACTTCGGTTGTCAGTGGATCTGATAACAGGACGCCCACTTTATGAAGAGTTGCCTGAAAATGTGCCAGAGTTCGTGAAAGTGTTATCTGAAAGTGTGTTCAAACTTGGAAACGTCTGCTGATTCCATGAAGCTATGTTATGATAAGAGATATACTGAAGTCAGCTTTGTGCCAAAAGACAAGATGTGATTGTATAATCCCAGGAAGACCAAAGGGAAGTCTCCTAAGTTGTCTTCTCCATGGGAAGGCCCATATGACATAGTGGATCGTCTGTCAGACGTGACTTCCGAATAAAATGTGGTCGGCGAGATAAGCCAAAGGTGGTGCATGCCAACAGGTTTTGACGTTATCACGATCGAGGACATTTCAGTTGGAATGAAGTGAACAATGGAATAAATGACGCTGCTGAAGACGTGTCACCTGAAAAAGCCATTGTCGAAGAAGAAACTCTATCCGGTTTAGAGAAGGGAAACAGTGAAGCCATTAATGAAGTTACTACCACTAATGTGACTGTTACCGATAATGGAACATTTCCTGATGGAGCAGATGAACCCCACGTGAAGCAGAAGCCAACCAGACTTTGTTGAATTTTAATTTTGTGTTTGTAAATTATGTACATTTAATTAAGTTATTGTTGATAATCTATTGGTTTAATGTAAGTGGCTATTATTCGGGACGAAAAATACTAAGGAAGGAGCAGCGTTACGACAACGGAAGTCACGTGACACTGGTAACAGGTCATGAGTTTCTAGAAGGATCATAACTGTTCCTGGCAACTCTAGTCTTTTCTAGGCGCCCTCTATTTTAGTATATAAGCTCGACAAAAAAAGCGGAAAGATAATTGCAGATAGACAGATATAAAGACAAATAATTGAGTCAAGCAAACTGTAAGTAATGTGCGTGAATCGTTGTAAATTATAGCGTGTGTTTAAGTTAAAGTGACTGTGGAAATTCTGTGTATTGCAAAGTTGTGTTGAGAAAGAATAAACTAGTTTTAATTAAGAAAGGATTTGTATCGCTGAAGTGTCTCGGAGAGAATTTTTACGGGAAATTAACAAACGACCAGAGACGTAACAATATTTCTCCACTTAATGGTGACTCAGCGAAATTCATAACCATCTCATATCACACAGTCATTGGCTAGTTTCTTTGTCGTTAACTATGACTAGGCAAGTTTCTGTTATCTGCAATCTTTAGTACTTGACCCTGTCAATTCGACAATGGCTTTGCAAATCTTGAATATATTTCAAACATAAATTAATACTTTTTTTATTTAAAATAATTAGAAATAAAGGCGAAATGAAACAAAACTAAAACATAAACTGGTAATTGTGTAATCACAAACTTGTTTTACTCTTCTTCTTTTTTATAAAAATTAAAAAAACATTAAAACCTCCATAAAGGCCAAAACATGAGGCTTTATGTGACATGTGATCAGTGTGACAAGACTGAATCTGAAGATCCGTGGTTCAGGTTTAAAATATTGTTACGTCTCCGTTCGTTAGTTAATTTTCCGTAAATTCGTTCCGACGAAACTTTAGCGACACAAGTCCTTTCTTAAATAAAACTGGTTTATTCTTTCTGAATATAACTTTGCGATACACTTAATTTCAACAATCGCGCTATAACAAACGCTATAATTCAAACGAACGTCTCACGTGCTCAACAATATTCTCTCTGACTGCAGTTCAATTACTCATTGTTCCGTCACGTTGTGACCGTCTTATATATACAAAACTAACACATCTCTAGTAAATGCTAGAGCATTCACGAAGGAACAGGATATTTCTAGAAGGACGTGGCATGATACTAGTCACGTGACCTCGCTGACGCAACAATATGCTTTACAGCTGTAGGTGATATATAAAAATGGGGATCAAATCCCATTACTCAGTCAATCAAGAATTTGTTGGTGTTGATGACTAGCGTTCCCTCTAACCTGTCAGTTCAAAATTATATATGGCTATGCGCAGTTAAGTTATGAACGGCTATGTGCACTTAGAACTTTTGTAGCTTTATGAGAAAATTAAATTAAAATTAATACGTGTGTCATTAGAACCTCTGAATAGTATAACCTTTCAACGACTCTTTGTTCGTCTAATTTTAATGTAACACGGTCTCTACTGCCTAACGAAGGGCATCATTCCATAGGGGTGCATAAAATATAATTTCAAATGTTTATATTTTACTATCTATTATCCGAGTTTTACTCCTCACTTCTTGCGGAAAAATAGTCATATCTAAATTACACTCTTCGAATATCTTCAATAATATACATTTTTTCCAAATGTACGAAAAGTCTGTGGAAATAGATCACACAAGACGCCTTTTATGATCAGGAAATTCATGCCAAAAGTAACAAGTCAGTTTCGTACTATGAAAATCGTCTCCTTAAACTAAAGTCCAAATGTAGATGTAATCTAACGAGTAGGTAACGTATTGTTTATTTTTAAACAATCAGAGTTAATGTTACTTTGACGGTTTGAGAGTAAAGATGATTTATAACTAAGCTCTAGGGATTTTAGTTGTTGTTGGTTTATTTTTTTTTTTGTAAGAGCTTTTAATATTCTTCTTAATTTATTACAAATATTTAATTCATTTCGAGTTATTTTGTGCCTAAATAATCAACTTGGATCAATTTACTGAAACTGTAAATTGTATTCTAAATTATTCTTACGTTTGTTTGCCCTCGTACTGTAGTGTCGAGCACCTAGTATATAGTAAGCCAATGCCGTAATGACGTGCAGATATTTTACGTTGCGAAGTAGTAGGCCTAGTTGTTAGATATACTTTATTTACTTGAATGATTGTTTCACCATTATACGACTTCATTGGAGATCTTGTCGAACATGTCAGTAGATAAGTCAGTTTAAATGTAAATTAATGTTATATTTCAGTTTGTATTAGGTTTAGATTCCGTTTAATGCTGTCCAGGCCCAAAACTAAGAAGTATAATTTGTGGACT